CATGGAATTCTGGAGGATTCTTCACTTCAATTTAGGTCTAATTTTGAAATATAATCATCCATCATCGACCTGTTCTATTATTGTTCGCTGAGCTTAGAGTACCAGAGCTTCTTCTGGCACACAAGAAGCTTCTCCTTCTCGACATTGTATTCGGTATCATGCTTCTCGCAGCTCCATCTCATGCCTTTGGCAATGGTGGCTATGGCATCGATGAAATAGTCAGATTCCCGTATCATTACATAGCCACTTGGTCTAAGGATCCGATCCATCTCAAGGAGCACATATTTCATTTCACATCTGTCATAATGGTTACAGGAATTGTCAGTGTATTCAAAATAACAAACAATACAAAATCTGTAAGTATCGCATACAACAAATCAACAACAGAAAAACTTTGTAGCAGTTCAGGCTGAATCATGCAGAAGCACTAGAAAGGGGAAAACAAAAATGTTTCTACAGAAAGTGCCGGGGCAATGATGCTAACCTTTCACCAAGGCCTTCTCATCATAAAGTTGTTCACATTTATGATCTACCTCTATTTTACTATGTAGGCGAGCATTTCGTTTCTTTTTAAGCACTATGAAGTTCTCGCATATCCATTAAGTGCTCTAATGATTAACAACAGAGTAGCCCTTGCATCTAAAGTGGATTGTTTCTTTATATAGAAATAAGCCAAGCGGACTGCTTCTTTATGTAGAAATCAGCCAAGCAGTGACTTCCATGCATTGCTGTAAAAACGTCGTCCTATCAATGCTCATGTTTAACTTGCTTAAACTGCCTCTAATATTAGGGTAAAATAACATGTGGGCAATGGATCAATTACAAGCATGGTCCTTCACAAATTTCACAGGCCTGATTGAACCCTACATGTTTCTGGAGAACACAACACAATGTAGACTGACATTAGCATCCTAGAGAACTAGATGTCACAAGATCCAGGTTTTGCAACAATGTTCTTTAAATACTGAGGCTCTAGGGTCTCGATATTACCTAAAATGAGGCCACTCTGGTCAGATCTATTAAAAGCATCTGGGGAACACAACACAATGTAGACTAACATTAGCTTCCTACAGAATTAGATGTTACAAGATTCAGGTTTTGCAACAAATATTGAGGCTCTAGTGTCTTGATATTTTACTTAAAAGTGAGGCCACTCTGGTCAGATCTATTTATTAAGAACATCTGGGTAGATATTTACCTGTGACTTTCAGCAGTGAAAAGGCCATCAAGATGCAAGAGGTCGTATGTGCGAGGGTATGTTGAAAATGGCTCGCACCTACAATAGTAAAATTACAATGGATCGATATCAGATTCTAAACTGAAGTAATGGAAATGCAAATAGATACAGATGTACACTGTGCACCCACGTACACACACTCTCAAGTACTTGCATAATTAAACCACATGTGTTTTCAAGCATGCCATGTTGCAAAAAATTATGAAAGATAAATCAATGGCAGGTACTAATAATCATGCAAACACGGATCATTTGCTTACCAATCATGGTAGGTACCAATCAGACCCCTATCATAGATTGCGCCAAGGGAATTTGACCCATAGGATGAGACAACATTCATTACCCACACAGGATCCTTTACGAGGGCTGCTGCAAACCCTCCATATAGCGTATTCATATCCATTACGTTGCGGATCTTATCAGTTCCCAGAGCAGGAAGCACTGACTTATAGTGTTTCGCCCTCACCTTCCATTTACCATTATCATGCTTAAATCCATTTGCATTGCCACCAGGAACCGTAGAAACTCGCTCAGGTGCAACGTTGAGACGGGCAGGCCATTTTGGAGTAGATTTCAGACTCAGCTTCTTCAAGTTTTGGCTTGGGACAGTAAGGCAAGGGCGGAGAGGAACGTACCATGCAGAATCTGGATCTGTGCTGTCATCGCACTTAGGGGGATAAGAAGCCGGAGTAAGCTTATCATAGCAATTATTGTCAGGAGATTTCTGCCAAACAGCAATATCATCCTTCTTATTATATAATTTGAAGCACATGCTTGTTAGCAACTTCTTTAATTTGTCAAAATCTGATTTTTGTTCTTCCACTGTTGTGTTCCATCCTCGCCATCTATTCTCATAATTTACAGGTGGTCCAGAGAGCACCCAGAAACCACCAGGTCGCAGTATCCGGTGTACTTCCTGAAGGTATATCCCCCCTAAAATATGGTGATTGAAGTTTAATGGAAGTATATCAATAAAAATATAAAGTATGTTTAGAACTGTTCATTCCCTATTCGCAGAATGATGGTCATTTGGAGAGAACAAGAAAGAAGCATAAATAATATGGATGTAAGCAATCCTGAATGTTACTTTACTTAAATTCCAAATTCTATATAATAATAGAGCTTTTGACAAAAAGGTCTGTTTTATTATTTCTAATGTTTTTTGACATCAAGCTTACAGGTATGAACTCAAGACCAACTTCAGATAAATCTCCATGCTAATTCTGAAAATAATTATGGACCTACTATTAGCAGGAAAATAACCGTCATTACTGACAAAGAATAAAGGTTGACCCGATTTTTATTTCTATCCTTCTAATTCTTGTGACAATAAACCTATTCGTTATAATATCAATGCTACTCTTTTTTCTTTTTTTTGCCTAGCCTCGAAAAGTGAAGAAAATTACCAAATTCTGTCCAAGGAATAAGACACCTAGAGCAGTGAGCCATATCAAAAGAATTGGATGGGAAAGGAAGACGGTGCATGGATATGATTCCCAAGATTGCAGGGATCCCGCGCTCTAGGGCAAACTGAACTTGAGCCTCATGATTATCTCTAGGTGCCAGAGAAACAGTTAGAATTCCCCGGTCCAACAAATCGCCACCCCAGCTAGCAACCTGGAAAAATATGATATCAGTACAATATAAGGAACAATGATGGAAACAAGCATAATGTGGGTATGATAAATCTACAAAAAATATCCTCCCTAAGATATACTAAGGTAAAATATTACAAACTTTGATCTTTCTAGTATAACCTTTAATCAGGATTTTGGAGTCTCGTTTACCTTCATGTATTAGAGCCTATATCATATATTAGTGAATAACATAACTTAAACTAGTAATTTGTAAACCCGACGCATACCTTGTTTCACTGAAAAATCATTTAAGACGAAAAAACAACGACAACAATAAGACCATGCCAACCTAAATGACTTCCAGGTCACAATATGAAACACAGACTACTGTTCACTAAAAGTATCAGATCAGAGTACTAACCCCACAACCAGTATCAATTGCAGTTCGGACGGTCCCATCCTTCATTTCTGGGATAAGGGCTTGCATCAAGTCAACATATTTTCCCACTCCATTGGGAAACATAGTTCCTCCACCAGGGAATAGGAACTTGTCACCTTCCTTTTTAAGCCAGTGCTGATTGGATTTCTGGCTGTTGATCCAGTCATAGGGTACATTCCTGAACACAAAAATGGGATATACATTTCAGTTTTTATCAAATACCAAGAGTCACATTCAGCTCAACATCAAGCGGTCAAGGATATCAATCAGCAAGTTGAAAATGAGTAACATACAAGTAATTAAGAGACAAAAGAATAAGAGAAAAAAAAAGGAAAATAAGTACCTGTACCAACACTTATCTCTACTCTTAGGCCATCTGATAGGTGGCTTGTACCCATCTGGAGGAGGCACCAAACATTCTTTCCTTTCAGACATTGGTGGGCAATGGCGCTCCATAAAATTAAGTCTGTAATTTCCATACTTTCTCCATCTCTGCCAAATTAATAAGTTAAATCTTCAGTATACTGGCAGAATTGGCGATATTTTGTCAAGAAAAATCGAGAAACTACATAAGCTCTAAGCAGATCATTGTCTTTGAAATCAATGTTTTCCTTGCCATGGTCATAAAACATGGAAAACAAAATGTTGTACTGCATATGAATGCAATTATACGTATCACTGTGTTTGAACAAATGAAACTTTGATTTATCTATTAAAATGGTATGGCCCCCACTTGGAAATTACTAAAAAGATTTCTATGTTCGCTACTGCAGTGCATTTTATATATGGGGTAGAATGTATAACAAAGAGCGAACATGCAGCATGACACTGAATTCCTTCTTCAAAATGGGCACAAGAATGGGGCAACAATACATTAGGTCAGTTAAATATTTTTCTGCCGAATTCCTTCTTCAAAATGGGCACAAGAATGGGGCAACAATACATTAGGTCAGTTAAATATTTTTCTGCCAACTAGCTTCTGGCTATGTACTCGTACATTAGGTCAGTTAAATATTTTTCTGCCAACTAGCTTCTGGCTATGTACTCGTATTATAAAACCCACTCGGGAACAGTCAGCAACTAAGTCATGCACCTATCAAGCTTTATAAGACATGACATAAAATCCTTGCATGAATTCACAGTTCATCTGCCAATCAGTCCATAAGATGTTGGCTCACCTATAAGAAGTGCTTTATTAAGATTCTATCCAGATTTATCTGCTCTTTAACCTTACAGCATTTATCATGTAATGAGACATTACATTCAAAGATTGCACCTTGAGGTCTTTTCCTTAGTTTAAGATAAAACTATTAATAATAAGATTTGCTTGTTTTGGGCTGGCTGCAAATTATTGGGAGGGCTAAAGAAAGGAGTAACAATATGGCTATGAACCAAATTCATGAAATTTAAAATTTCACTTAGAAAAGAGATTTCTAATTAATTGATTTTAGGAACTTCAGAATTCTGGATGTCCATTCAAAATTTCAAACATGTAACTATAGGATCTCATAGATAAATATAATTGGGCTTAGTTCAGGTGATGTGACTTGTGACACTTAAAAGGTTGTAGGCACCAATCTCATTCAGGAGTTATTTCTCCCTCCATGGGACTTCTCCTTAACGATGCAGAGATTCTTCCTATGGTCTTACTTGCCAACAAAGCAAAAGATAAAAAATTCCTCCAAGATAGAATGAAAATCCACACAGTACAACAAACATCAAAGCCATGGGGACTGCCCTCGAACTTTTATTTGGGGAAGTCCCTGGTTTCGCATCTTTATTCTTCATTTTATGTATTATTACAGAGGGCCTGAAAGAAAAAACGCATAACAAGGCATATCAGATGTCAGAAATGAAGACAAACACGTATAGAAAAATCACGACCAAGTTCAACCTGAAACTTACGAAAACAAAGACGTGTCAATAATGAAATGCTTACAATGATAATATCTCATCTGACTTATCTAATCTATTAGGATTAATAAAACAAACTAATCAATTATTCACTCCAAATCGGTTAACTTCACAAGACAGAAGCATACATATTTCTGTTCTACTAGAAGATGAAAATGGCGATGTAAAATGTGGTGTCCAAGTAGGGGCGGTAATGGGGGCCAATAAACCAAATCAAATATGAGCCAAAATTTTGCAATAGATCCCTAAATCATTTCCAGTAACTTATAGGAACTAGATATGAATCCCACAAATACATTGTTTTTACATAGGATATGATACAAATCTTTAAGGTTCCAAACTTGATAACCCGGTTAGTATCTCCATAGATCAAATTCTCAACTTTTAATTAAATTAATTATTTTCTTGTGTCACATGATTTATCTGGATTTATTTGTTCATTTTTAACATCGCTAAACTTAGGGGGAAAAACAAATTGAATAAGAAGACAATCCTATTTGACTCTTGATAGAAGTTGAACATTAATGAAGAATTTGAATATTTGGCAAGCAGAATCATTATCTGATGAATGGATATGGATTTGTGTACTTACACAGATCCTAGTTTCCTAATGTGTTAGAGTCATGAAGTGTATCCGTAAAATTTATAATGGATCTACGAGTTGTCATCCCTATGTGTAAAAAGGACATTAAGAATATCACATTTTCCTGATCTGTGACCATTCATCCACAAACCAATTTATCCTGCTACAAATTCAGAATCTCTTTCATGATTAACAGATGAAACCAACTCGATGGATAAAAAAATAAAACTTGTACAACTTAGACATTGCAAATAACCATCTTAAATGAAATAACATGTTTTGCTTCCGTAAACTAAAAGTACATAAACTATAAACATACAATTTAACAAAAATCTATGGCCTAAAAAGTTCAGAAGGCTTTCCTTAAAAAGAATTTAACAACCAGTCACAAAATTTTGAATGCCGGATTACTGATTCTCAAAAATATAGCAGATTATAATTATTTTAGCACAATAAGTAGCTATCGCTCACTTTGCACACGTTTTCTCTTGCTGCATAATATATTTCATAACTTTGTAAATTAAGTAAAAGTTTATAAAACTTCCGATAGAATTTCTCCACGTTTATTTAAAAGTAAAATGCTTCAACAGTCATAATTACATCCTAAATAGAAAACAATATGAAATTACGTCGCTTCAATGATCATCATAAAGTTGAAGGAACAGTAAAGGCACACACAGTGCTCTTTTAATCTCAGATCTTAACCTCAAAAGTCAGTCCTTAAAGGAATATCATGCAAATATTAAATATTCAAATTAAACACTGAAACAACTTGTCGTATAATAATTACTTCATAAGCAAAAACAAACAACGAAACAAAAAGAAGTGGGTATCCTAAGAAAATCTACCAGAACAACATTCACGCTAATAAACTTCAAAGAGAAGTTCAAGTAACCAATCTGCGTCACAAAAATACTAGTCAATTGAAAAGAAAAAAATATATGGTCAATAAGTCAGATTCCAACTACAACCAGTGATCAAATTCCGACTCAGATTTGACATAAACCTTCCTGGACTCAAAATGAGACTTACAGCAAAATTCTTCAGACCCGCATTTAAAACTCAAGCTATGACTCCTAAATGCATGCAAGATGGGGGCTCACTATACATTACCAACAATCTTTTAACCTTCAAAAGATAAAACGAACTTAGATAAGCCTATTCGTATCTTAACTTGCCAATCTTGGAGCTATCTAAAGGCAGATATCAGAGGTTTATGAATCCACTGCAAAACTTGAAAAGATAGAACTTCAGCTTCACAGGCTGCAAGAAGAAGCCACAAGGAATTTATAGGACATCCATGACCTCGACAAAGGAATCAGATTCCGGCACATAGATCCATTAACAATTGGCCCTAAACTAATTGTACACTCTTTATACCAAACAGGGGGAAAAACATGATTACTTAATTTGACAGGTAAGTAACACTAAGCCCAAAACTACCAATTACAATTATTTAAAAAAAGCTATAGGTAAACAAAAAAATTTCTTTTTTATACTCCCCTGATGGCTTACAGTGGTCTAACCAGAGAACGAATTGGATAATGGATATAATAGCATTCACTCATCAAATGATGGATTCTCACGTCGCCGCCACTGGCCAATACTCAGTACCAAGAGCAGAGAGCAGATTCATTTCAAAAAAGAAATAAACAAAAGAAAAGAGAGAGATCTCGTCAATTCACGAACCAGATCTCCCTAGAATTTAACAAACCGAGTCGATATCAAATAAATTCTAGTTAAAAATCGCCGATAATCCCACAAAATCGCACGGATCCAAGATAAAAACCCCGGCCAAAACCCTAAATCCCAAACAAAATCATCGAGTAATCAGGCAAACGCAAGGCGCGAAGAATTAGCGCGGATCTGCAGAGAACAAGAGAGAGTACCTCCGAGATCGATCTCTCTCTCTCTCTCTCTCTTTCACTGTGGGTTCGTGCTACGACCTTTCTCTTTCTCTCTCTAGACTCAGTATGATATAATTCGAACGGACGAGAGGAGAGAGAGTGAACGAAAGAGATAGAGGAGGATAAAGGAGGCTCATCGATGAGTGAGTTTATTTATAGCTGTCATCGGCGGTGGCTCGATGGACTCGCTTTCTCTCTCTACAGTGTAAAAAGCCACAGTGGGGAAGAGAGAGAGAAGCGCGGAGCTGGAAAGGGGTTAATTAATTGATTATGACAAATTAATTGAGCGTGTGAATATTAATGGAAATAGGCAAGTGGGTGCGTATCGGAAGCAACGAATCGATCATATGTATATACGTAAACGGAAACGGTAATTAGGATCGTAACTAAAAAAATAAGATTAATCCGGAAAGTTAGTTCTATTTTCATAATGGCCCTTCACATCTTCGTATTTATGTATAAAAAACCCACCGGATATGTTTACTTACAATCATTTTTTTTTTCCTCCGTGCGAAGAGGGAAATTAGAGGCTTAAGGGGGGAACTACCAAGAAAGTGAATCTCTTCATCAAGTTATTTGTTTTCCCCCGAATAAAAATTAAGTTATTTTTGATGAGTTACAACAGATCAATTAGAATAAGTTTTCTTTCTCTTATTAAATATTTGTGTGTGTCTTGCTTAAAGTCCACTATGGCAACTGCAAGGATAAAGGCTTTATCCTGAATTTTGACCATCAACTATGTTTAAGGGTCTGCTTGGTTAGAAAATTATAGTTTCAATAGTAGCATTTGATATAGCCAATTTGATTGTTATAAACGTTGCAAGCCTTTTTTATTAATAAAAAGGCAAAAAAAAAAAAAAAATTTAACGTTAGCCGGATAGTTGAAGAAGATCAAGAACAGTATAGGGTTATGATTTTGGATAACCAAACACTTGATTTGAAAGTGAGAAGTTGTAACAAAATATGCAAAAATCTAACTTTTTGCAACAAACCAAATGCTGGATTTGGAATTGGAAAAATACTTTCAAAAAAAATCACATCTCTAAATGATTCATCTTATATTAATTCCCCACAGCAAATGTTGCGTACGATATTTTCTAACATGT